GACACCCAGGGCCCTGTGGTCGCCTTCCATTCCCCGCGGCAGCCAGCCCTCCCGCCGCACCGAGGACACGCTTCCACCCGTGCTGCACCCCAAAGCCTGGGAGCCCCCACGCTCCCCAGCGCCGACAAACCCGAAACCGCTCCAGCCCAAACCACAGCCACGGGATTTAAGCCCAATTAAAAACCGCTTCGACTGCAAAGAAATGCCGGGACCAGCGCCTGCAGCGAGGCCTTTGCACTGGCCACAGAGTGCCAGCCCGGCAGAGCCAGCACACCGGGATGGCGTGCAACCAGAGCAGGGGCGGCCCGGAGAAACCCGCAAGGAGGAGATAATTTTAGTACAAGTGTTTATTGTCTTTTCCCCAAAGGGCTCATACAAATCAGGCCGGACTCCAGTTCCTAGACGGAGTCCTAATGAGGTTAGTTCACATGCGTTTAAAAACAGCTCTTCTACCAGTACCGTTATATCGAAATGTTAAAAGCCAGGGGGAAAAAAAAAAAATAAATCAAATCCCCTGGAAGTTTCCAACAGCAAGTGATGCTAGTCACACGTAACACGGACAGACGGCGTTAGGGGACGAAGGGATATGTACACGTTATCTTTAAAAGACACAGTGAGTCACTGCTATCAAGTAAGACCGCCCCGGCTCGCCCAAGGGGACAGCCTGGCCACCCCGGGGGTCTGCCCGGCTGCAGCGCTGTTAGCCAAAGCAGGGAGGAAGGGGTGGGTAACCACCAGCAGCAGCACAGGAGGCGGCTGCTAACTGCAATCGGACAGGGAAAGCCTGGCATGGGTCCATGCCCTCCCCTCCGCGGGACCGCATCCTGCCCCAGAAACACCTGAGTAGTCCCTAACCCTTTCCCAGGGGATTCGTGGTTACCCCAGGGCTGTCCTGCAGAAGGAGGGGAGCCTGCCCCAGCCCACACTGCCTGCCCTGGGGAGCCAAATCGCCAAAAAGAGCCTACAAACCAGCCAAAAACCTGCTACCAACATGCACTGCAAGTAAAACCACCACGCTGGGACAGAGGCAGCGAGTCAAACCACGCCTCCGCCCTGCAAAGAACTCATAAAACCCAGAAGCAAAGCAAAGGAAAACCAGCAAGAGCCAAAACATCCCTAATTCTACAGCCTCCGAACCTGGGGTGGCTCTGGCTGGGAACGGGGGGCAGCGAGGGGGGCATGGGGAGCCAGCTCTGCCCACTCGGAGCAGAACCGTGGCAGAGGGGAGCAGCCAGTGTCACCGTCGGGGGGTGGCAAAGCCTCCGCGGGTGCCGGGAAGGGGCTGGGATCACTAGTGGTTGGTACTGCATTGCTACGGGAGCGAAGGAGCCGCTGCCTCGGACCCCTCCCCGGGGGGCAGCCCGTGGTCCCAGGCTTGGCGCTCCAGGCAGAGGGAGCTGGAGAAGGCTCCTCTCCGTGGTGTAAAACATCCCCGAGCTGGCGCAGATGGGAAGGGAAAGGAGAAGCCAACGCAGGGGCATGAAGCATCTCCGGTCTCCCCGGCGCACCAGGAGCCCGGCTGCGGCACTGCCCCGCTGCCGGCTGGCGTTTGGCCCCGGAGTTGCTGTCAGCCGTAAGGCAGGAAGACTTGAGACCGAGCAGAAGAGGAGGGCATGCAGAGCACACGGGGGGCACGGGG